AGAGACTCTAGAGGGACTATGCTGAAACAATTTCATAATCGTACCTCCAGAGTCTCAAGATACCTCCTAACAATACCTTGGGTACTTCCCTGTTGTTTACTGTAACACACCTTTGTCTGGAGCTCATGTTACTTTTTAATCAGCCAAGCATCATTTCTGCATCAGCATTTAATATTCTGTGGCTAATGAAGAATGTCTTGGCATCCTTTATGCCTTTAACAGAAAACTGAGATCCTACACAGGGCTGAGGGGGTTCTCTCACCATAAACTGGGTTGTTCTCTTTGCCACAGTTGCCATCACCCCGGATTTGGGCTGCTCGCGATTTCTCACCTGCCTCCCTGCTGGCTACTTCAGCCTTAGGCAATGGATCACACAGTTCCTCTGGAAGCCTTCTGGGGTTCCCAAGGAAGGCAGCACTTACTCACTTGCAGGCCACATCATTTCCTAAGGCAGTAAGATCCCTTCCTTCAGGATGGCCTTTACCTCCCTCCCAGTAAAACCCAAGACAGCTTTCTGAGATAACCTCTCAACAGCCTCACATGATTCAGTACACCAGATTTGCTTGCCTTTGACCATTTTATCCCATGCTTTTCCCGCTCTGGCAAGTATCTACAAAACATCTGCCTGCCATAAGTAAAATCTACTTGTAACACTAAGCTGATAAGTAGTACCTGTGTGTATGATAATCAAGATTTCAGCCATCCACACTTTGGCCCTCTGGCAGCTTGGGGCATCTGCTGAGCGTGGGGGATGCAGTCTGAGCTGCTCACAGCATTCACACCCATGCTGTAGGTGGCAGGCATATGTCCACATATGCTTCAGTTAATCTCTTGCACATCATCTTATCATAATGTAAGTGTCTTGCAGTATCACAAGCAGCTCCACATTGGCAAATGCACCCCTGCTGCACAGTTGTGAATTTCAGTGAGATTCTGTGCAGTCCATAGCATCCTGTCCTTGCTGCTACGTATCTCCAAGGGAAGCCTCTACAGAGCTGGAATGTAGGCTGCAAAGAAACATCTTTCCAGATACTCGTCAGCTTTTAGGTTTGTGCTGTATTAGAAATATACACAATGTTTACTGTGACCTATTTCAACAAAGAACATTTTTCCTCTTTCTATGTAAGCTAACTTGGAGATCTGTTTTCAATCCTTACTTTGTATCTTCATATTGTTTCTCCAATTTCAAGGTTTTTCTTTCAGCAACAGACAAAAAAGTGGCTGAATAGCTGCTGAAAATTCACTTTTAAACCTGGGCTTTCAAGTTCAATGTCTGAACTGTTCAGGATCTACCATCAAGTATTTTTTCTCCCCCCCAGCACTCTTAGAGAGTGTTCTCACTAACCTCGTCTTTAAAACCTTCTTATCTGCTTCTAACTCCTAATTCTATTCTACAAAATCCCTGACTCTCTGTGGTCTTCTTATGTAATTTTTATGTGTTTCAATTAAAACCTGATCTAGTTTCTCTTTCCTTGCCTACGCACTGTCTCTGTCTTGCTCCAAACCTTTTAGATTCTCTTCTGATTTAGCCACATTGGTTTCCTATTTCAGATGCCACTCAACAAGTTTTTAAGAGAGAATCACAGGCAATACATTGCAAACTGAGTTTTCAGCATCAAATATCTATTATTATCAATAACAGTGTAGGCAAAGCTAACCTATAAATGCATAGCAAAACTTTCACCATGAGCAAGGAACCAAATCCCACTACATCAAGTTACTCAGGCTCATACAAAGGGCACTACCTCCTCATCCAACTGCAACCAGCCTGGCTGGCCAGTGATTTGACTCAGATGAAAACTGAACTCAATTTGTGTGACATTCAGTATAAATGGTGAGACTCTGTAGGCAGAAGGACAAAGAATATTTAGCATTTCCAGTTTGATTACTTCCAGTACAATGTTTAGGTCTCATCCATCATTACTTTTGGTGACATCTTAGAGTAGATTTGGTGACATCCATAATCTCTGAAAAGCCTATGCACCTCTCCTGTTTTTCTTGTTAACTACAAGACTAAGTTGCAAGCAAGTAAAAAAATTGAAGCCTGTAAAAGCACCTAGGTTTTAGATTTTGCTGAACTTGTTTGGAAAACACTTAAATTAGATCCAATTAGTTTTTAATCAATCTAGTTGAAGAAATTATTCTTTTGGCTGCTTTCACAGGAAACTTGAGTTAAAAGCAAATTATAGCTCTCTGATTGCTACAGACTGGAGAAAAAACTTCCCCTTTTTCACTCATAGCAGCCTACTTCTCTATTTTTAATCAGAGCTGTTGAGTTGTTTGTCCTGGGCAAGGAAAGACATGTGTAGAGAAACTGATTTGGAATTCATTTCTAATAATGTTTAATAGGCAATAGATACAGGATGGATTTTTCTCCCCAGATAGCTCCTTTTTGAATGCCATGTATAAACTGTGATTCAGACAAAAAAGGCTCAGGTGTGAAAAATGTTTGATCTATGGCTGGCAAGCACAACTGCAGTCATTAAGCTGGGCTTTTATAAGGCTCACTGCATGCTCATAGCCAACTTAAAACAAATCTTAATGGATGATAAAGTTGCAAGTTTTACTAAGCTGGCAGAATCAAAATGAGGTTACTGGAGAAATCAAATTCCATGTAAATAAGCTGGCAGTACAGGAAAATGAAGTTATCATTTTATCAAAGAATTATACTTGCAAATAGTCAAACACATAAGCACAACTTCTTTACTCGGTCATATAGAAAAATCAATTAGAACGTGGCAAGCATGGCAGCTGTGGAAAAGCCTTACATTTCTCTAATTTCCCACAAACGTTATGGAATCAGTCCTGATATCACCGTTCTTATATAATAATCCATTCAGCTTTATTCATTCATTTTTATTGTGTCATCAGATCTTAAATTAACTTGGTGACTTTCAGCAGCAGAATATTGGGGAAGGACAGACAGTTTTGTTTAATATCATTGGAAAAACTTCAGTCCTTGCCAACAAATCTATTTCCTATTCTATTAATATAAGACCTATTTAAGCAAACAAAAGTGAATGGAATTTGCCAGCCATGAAAACTAAGCCTTATTCAAAAAGGGTTATTTCCTTCAGGCAAAATCCAAGCAAAGGTTTTCTTGAAGACCAGGGCTACACAGCAGCTCAGGGACACTATGACTAACACTGACACTTGTGAGAGAATTAAATGTGCTTTGAAAGAAGGGGAATTTCAGCTTAAAAAGAGGAAGCTTCTTTTGGACAGAGGGTGCTTGCTTTAAGAAGCACATACATATTTGTGATAGGAAAGGGTTGATTTGGGTGCTCTGGGCTTTCTGCAAAGGACAGGCACTGAGGACAGAGGAAAGAATGAACACTTCTGTTGTCAAGATCCATACTGGAGTATTTTGCTGCCTCTGAGACAGGAAGCCTGGAGAAAGAAATAAGGTACTCCCTAGTATTGTAATAATGCTTTCAATTGAGCGGGTTTGCTTTTTTATTTATCTGATAACGATTTGAGCAGTTACTGAAGCAAGCCTTTGTAATGCTCCTATAAACAAGTAGGAGCATACATCTGTAAAAATGTAATTGCTATTAGTAAAGTGACTCCACACCTGCTTTCTTTCATTTGAGTCACAGCTGCTAATCATAGCAGCTTCACACACATCCTTTATTCCCTGGAGCAAGCTGACCAATCTATAGCAGAATGAGCCAGAGCCCATTCTATAGTGGCATCAGCACAATTATTTCCTGAATTCTTGGAGCAGGACATTTATTATTAGAAACTGGGCAAAAGGACCAAAGTGGATCTGCAGGGCATTTTCCGATTATGCATGTTATAAGGATGGCAGTCTTAATTTACACCAGTAGATAGGAGAATCAGGTCTTTTCCTCACAACTACTGTAATTCTGGTGATTGAAGGGAGGGACCCAAAACCAAAAGGCAAAACCTCTTCCTTTAGCTTTGTAAATCAGTTAATGTGCCATGAGAAGCACTGTGAGAAAATCAGTATGTGTCCCCAGAGTGATTTCAGCACTAGAACTGAGAGCGGGAGGGCTTGGCTCATTTAACTGCACTTCTGAATATCACATCTTCATTTAATAATTGAGATTACTTTATTGCAAGAAAAAATAGCTCCTGATCAGTGATCCTCCTGTTTAAGAAGCAGTATGAGGTTTGTGTCACATGTCCAGCTGGTTTTGAAAGACACTTATTGAAAATAAAGAATGTAATACCTGGGGACTAAACATAGAATATATTGTATGGCTGCTAATCCTTGTTAGGTGTGTTTGGGTATAGGTTAGGAATCAACTACAGATTCATCCTTTTGTGTACAGTACATATCTTGCCACCAGAGGTGCTCTGCAAACTGCTATTTGAGGTTATGCCTGTACTGCATTGTGTAGCCATGCTGCCATTTCCAGTCAGTGTCCTGTGCAGAAGTAGGAGGCACAACCTGGGAGCGGGCATTTGAATTCCCCCTTCCAGCAACTGACTGGTCTGTTAATCAGCTGGTATCTCTAAATTGTCACCTGTGTGGGAACAGAGGTGCACTCCTTCTCTGTTTCGTTGCAAAGTCAAGCAGGTTAGTGTGATCTGGTGAGAAGTGAATCCGGCAATTGCTACTTCCCAGCTGACAAGTTTGCTTGACTAACCTTGAGGCAAGTGCGAGGGCTGGGAAAGGAGGGCAGATGTCACCTGATGTGGTACCTGTGATGCAGAAGTGGTTCAACCAACTTGCCAATTCTGTGGCCAGGTGTAGCTTAGAGTGTGGAAAAACATGTCAACCTGACCTGTCCTTTAGGTGGAACTCAGAATAAACACCACAGCTAATCCCAACGAATATCTCATTCTGGTTGATGACATTCTTCCCCTCTGAATTTCCCTCGCCGTTTCACTTGCGTGGAGTACATGTTTGTGTCCTATGATTTGTGCTGTGGGAGTGTGCGTTGTTAGGCAGCCGCTGTGCTCTCTTTCAGAGATACCTGCCCTTTAGTTGTGGATGAAGAATTCTGCTTGAAGAGGCAGTGGAATGCTCCATGATCTTTGGACCAAACGTATTATTTAAATAATTGGTAGTGTTTAATTGTTATTAAAAGAGCAGTTTCTGGATGTTAGAGCAAAGTGATCCCCGAACCATAGAGAAAGTCACAGTTCTCCTGGAGACCTTAGATATAGTAAAAGGATGTTACTGAAAGAGGGGATAGTGGGGAGGAACACAAAATGCATTCAGAAATCAAAAATCAGGGAGGCAGAGGGTTTTTTTTAATGTAATAACAACATAATTAAACAACAAGGACAGAATTTTTAAATGTAACTTGAAGTAAAAGATTGTTCTAAAAGAATGAGCAATAGGAGTTAGCAATTGATTAAAACAGTGCCACTTTCTAACTGGAGAAGCACATAGGAAACACAAGTTGCCTGGGTAATTGTATGTTTCTAAAATGTGTCCCTGGTTGGATATTTGTGTGGTTGTATGGCTTAGTATTTGGGTGGAGGGCATCCTAGAATTCTCTGACCTTGCCACGTTAAGGGAATTTTCTTAAGTTGTGATTTCCTTTGATAACACTTGTTCAAATCAACCTGTGTTTACAACATGGGAGAAGGCTGGTAAATGCATTTTTAGCAGAATTTCATTTGGAAGTCCCTAGGATAGCTTTCAGGTCAGCGGTGGAAAGTCTAAGTCACAGATGTCCTGCCACCAGGAGGCTCACAGCACTGCTCATGGAGCTACTCAGTGTTGCACAGGGTGGAACTTTTAGAAAAATTCCCTACATTAGAAAAGTCAAAAGAGTAGGTTACTAGTTCAGTGGCCAGTTTTGTTTTGAGTTCATCATGAAACATGGGGGAGGAGAGTCTTCCCATAGAAGATAGGTACCTGATGTAAGAAAATAAACTAATTACATGTAAGAACATGTAAGAAAAGAACATTTTGAAAGGAACTGAAGGGCAGTGAAGGAACTGAGGAGTCAAAGAGCACAGATTTGACAGTGTCTTTCAAAAGATAATGACTACATCCAAAAATGAAAACAGGAAAAAAGAGAGCAAATGAAAACCCAGGCAAGCATACCAGATACAAAGCTCTTGTTTACTCCAAGACCTTCGCGCTTCACTGTGCGTATTGGGTTTTCACACGCTGGATTCACAAGCTGGATTGGGAGGAAGAAGAGGCAGAAAGCACAAGCCAATCTCAAAATAAGTCGCACAGGGCTTTCTGGCAATTGCCCTCAAAAGTAAAGGGAGTGAAGTTGCCTCTTTTCCCCGAACATCGATTTTAGAGTTCTTCAGGGAAGGAGTCCCCTTGTACTCAGCCAAGTGGGAACTGCCTCATGACTTTTCTCAGACTGGTTTGGGCCAAACCAAAGCAGTCATGAATAGGGCCAGTAAAGTGCATGTACTCACATGGTTTCTTCTCCGTTCAGTGGTTGGACTGCAGAAATAGTAAATAAAGGGTTGAGTGTCATTACTGACTGCATTTCAATTAATATACTTCTCCATTTTTCATCTCTGACATCCACAAATGATTTGTAATTGTGAGTCATGGGGACATCTCCAGGAATGGCTGACAAAGCCTCAAAAGGCAAGAAAGATGCCACATAGTGCTGGCCTTATTTAGCAAGGGAAAATGGTTACCTTCCCATGGACTGACCTCACATAATTCTGGATGTCAGAGACAATTTTTAAGCCCTGGGTCTTCAAACCACTCCCATCTCATCAGTTATCACTGGCATCGTGAAAAAGTGCCACTTCCATAGCTGGATGCAGCCAGCATGTGAACAGAAAAACTGCACATCCATACACAGACCCACAATGCTCTGAAGTGGAGCAGAGTGCTCATGCACTGGGCCATGGCCGCGAAGAGGGCAGTTTGGTCTGCACCATTTGCCAGCAGCGGGCCATACCCTGAAGAAAAGTCTATCTTTCCCCTCTTACCTAGTCCCCTTTGACTGCTAAACAATACTGGACATAACCAGACTTTCAATGGCCTGCAGATATAAAAGAGAATTGAGCACAGAATTTGTGTTGAATATGCCAAAGAAATGGTGTAAGTAGCCAACACAGAGACTGTGTAATTCTCCTTCCTCCCCTCAGTCTTCTGGACACTGGCTCCAAGGATTTACATTTGCTGGTTAAAGGCATCTTGTAAAAAAGGGGAAGAGAAGCTGCTTCCAACACTGACGTTTTAGTGGCCCGATTCATGATTCAGCAACTCTTTATAAAGCAGCTTGTGTAAAAGGAGCAGCTTGTCACACTCAGTGACCTCCGCTGCAGGGAATGTGGGTGTACACCCCCCTCCAGACTCACGGGATCCTTCTTCATGCAGCCACCCCCAGCAAGATGCCTTCTCCTGGAAGACAGCAGCCAGGAAACCATGTAGGATCTTTGAGACTTCTGTCCTCACAGCTCCAAATCCAACCCATAAAGAAAGGCAAGCAGTGTTATCTGGTATTTTTGCCTGGGTTTTATTTCTCTCTCTCACTCTTATTTTCAGTTCCGGTTTTGGTCTTTGCTGCTGTGAGACTCTCATTGCAAAACATGCCTAGCTGTAGCAGTGCACTCTCTCTACTTCACTTGTGTTTCCAGTTGCTAAATCATTTTAATTTCTTCTCTTACACACCTGCACTGGATGGAAAAAATAGGGCTACCCTTTTTTTTTTACTTGACTGGAAGCAAAAATTCTTATTCACAGGAAGGAAATATGACTGCTGAGAAGGAGTTTCTGCAGTTTTCAGTGGCTTGGCACAGACAATTTTATTTAGGCAATCAGTTGTGTGGCTTAATTCAGTGGGGCCCAGCCTAGGAGGAAAACCCCTTGATAAAAGTGGACCATGTAGTATTGCGGTTGGAGAGAGAGAATGAGAATGAGAAAAGAGAATGACCTCTGTCTACAACAATGGATTCTGCACATCCCTCCCTCCTCTTCTGCTACAACAGGTGGATCACAAAGAAAATTATCTATATCCTCTGAGACATTTGGGCTTCTTTCTCCCCTTTCCTAAGAAAAGGCAGGATGAATCTGGTCTGGAAAAAATATCATTCACAGTTCTGTACATTACAGAACACACCCAAAAACATGTCAGCGGACTGAGGGGAATTCTGTATTAAACAAAAAAAGATACTTGCTTTCAGAGACCTGGGGTAAAGGTAAAGACCCAAGTGTACCAGCTTAAAATAAAACATGACAAAAAATGGAAAACCATCAGGAAGCTGTACTACCAGTCAGGACAGCGGACAGCAATCTCCCTGGTTTTAAGTACTATGAGAGCTGAAAAGTTTTTACATCTGCTCCAGCAAAAGAGGATTATTTGGAGCTGTTTAAAGGAGGAGAGCGAAGGACCTTGGCATGGGTGGTGTGGAGGCTTCTCCCAAATATACGGACAAGGCACAGGAAAAACACAAAGGCGCTGCTAAAATGCAAACCAGCAACCACAGGCCAGTCAGGTGCAGGTGCCGTTCTCTCACCGGTCCATGGGAATGACATTTGGCTGTTTACCAAGATTATAGGCCCTTATACCACATGAACCCAAGCAGCCATAGAAGTGTTTTGCTTATGAGATGAGTCAGGGGTTTTCTTCTCTTTTTCTAAAGAGATACCAGTTTTTCTTGACCGTAAATTATGTGCTGTTTAGCCTCAAGTCTTTAAACCATATAGGATTTCTCTCAGTTATCGTTTACTGTTGTGAATGATACGTTCCTGTTACAAAACTGAAGGTCACACACTTCATCGCTTCTGGTAGCTGACATCATCGCGCTGTCTTCCCCACCTCCTCCTTCTGTGTCACCCTCTCCTCCCCCTCTACTTTCAATTCCCCCATCTTCTTCCCCACACTGCCAGGCCAAGCATGGTCCCCATTCCTCTTTCCTCCGCAACAGGCGTTCTGCGTACTCGTCCTGTCCTTTGCACCCCGGGGGCTCTGTGTTCCCCCCTGCATACTGCATATCCTGTCTGCAGTAATCCTGCGCCACATCACCTTCTCTGTAAACCAGAGATCTGTCATGGCATGCTTCTTGTTGCTAAAGGCTGTGAAGCACACAGAAGTCCTTGCACCAGTCCATGGGAAAAGGTGAGATTAACTTTCTCAATAGTCTTTCTCTTGCTGAAACTCTTCTTGTTTTACCACTTCTTTGGGAGTATTGGAGAAGGTACTGGCGTGTTTTCAACCTCTAACATATTTCTTTCATTCTTCCTTCTTACAGCATCATGGAGGTCTGCATATTCTTCCTTTATGCTATGATACTTCTCCCAGGTAAAAGGCGCATTTTTAATTTTAAAAACTGTTTTGATTATTTGTGTCCTGCTATGTGATACTTTCTTATCCACTAAGAACTCATTCCTTAGCAGTAATTAATCATTTCCGTTGCACAATGAAGGTCATATAGCCTATGTGACATGTATTTAAATTGTGTGCAGGGACTCTATAAAATATATAGTAAGTACTTTCTCTCTTCAACTTATATCTTTACATTACACTTATTTTATGTTGCTTTTAAATTTTTGATTTAAATCTATCTTTAAAATGTGTGTATATCACCTCTGTATATTATAGAGGAGAGCAGTATTAAACTGAAAACTGACAGTTTGATATGGGACAACTGGAGTTTTAGGCAGCTGCGGAGATCATTTTGCAGTCCGGTGCTCTGGAAGAGCAGTCAAAACTTTGCACCAGCAGAGAGACCGTAAATCTCCTCCTTTTGAACACAGCAGAGGTGTTAGTATCTTCTGGGACAGAGGACTGCATTTCTCATTCCAAGAAAAGACGGTCCTCCTGGCCCATCGCCACCCATAATAATGGATACATGCACTGATGAAAGCAGGAGAACAATCATCCCTTGTGTAATACAGTTCATGCTTTCTTTGCATGAAGGCATAATTGTGTTTACTGACTATTTCTGTTAACACGATCAGCAACAGAACAGTTAAATCTGACATTTAATCTGTCATTAAACTCTAGATTAATTACAGAACAGTTAAATCTGACATTTAATTTGTCATTAAACTTTAATTCTTCAGTGAGACTGAAAGCGTTCACCTGTTTCTGACCTTCTGGTCATATATTCCCTAGACACCAACGTTTACCACACAGTGTGCACTTCACATTTTCTTCAAAACTGCAATGCTGTGTTATTTTATTAGGAGGATGAACTCAACTTTTGAACAAGAAATTGTGCAACTATCATCTCCTTTGTGGCAGAATCTCATTACACTCGGGATGCCACATACAAGAATGGTTTGGACCTTTTGCCTGCAGATAAGTCTTCCAAAATATAGACGCTCGCAACCTCTGTGTGGTAGGCCTTCTTTGGAAAGTAAAATATAGGAAGAAAAATAAGAAACAGTTTTATGACCTGAACTCCACAAGACTAAGTGAGTCAGTTTGAAGAACTATGTGTCCTGTCATACCTAGTGGGAGAATTTGTGTCTAAATGCTGGTGTTTTTATTGCTACTGTTGTTATGTGTTGCCTCTGTGAGTGCAAATACTTAATGGTATTTTGTAGCTGATGGAAATCTTAATTTCTTCTCTCTCTTTGTCTAAGGTATTGCTGCCAGTGTGCATCAGGTGAAGTCGTTTCTCAATCACACTGCATACCTATCCTGCTATTTTCCAAACTCTCAGAAAACTGACATAAAGGATTTAAGAGTTTTTTGGCAAAAAGGCGCTGTTGAAGTGGTGCACGAAGTATACTACGGCCAAGAAAAACTTGATAACCTTAGTCCTAAATATATAAATCGCACCAAGATGGATATGGACAAATGGACCTTGCAATTGTTAAATGCAGGAATTGTGGATGAGGGACACTATATGTGTATTATACAGCACAGAGATAAAGGAACGCCAAAGGTCATACACACATCTGAGTGCTTACTGCACATCATTGGTAAGTAATCTCTTCTAATTGTCATCTGGTCTGGGGGTTTTGGGGGGGGGGGTTCTCTGTCACTTTGTTCCGTTCAGAAATGTGTGGTACTGTCCCCAAGCCACTGAAGATGTACCTGCACTGGAGCAGAATTTCTAAAGATGGATAAGAGCTTTCTTAATAGAAGATCCTCAGCTCTGAATGAAAAGCACTCAGGTGGAAGCAGTCAGAAGAAGTAGAAAATTAGACCATAATTTGCTCAATATTGCATCATTCCTGATTCCCACCCTGTCATACTTTATAGTGAAAACCATTCTGCCTTCTTCCTCTTGCCTCCTGCAAGTTTTATGGCTTTTAGGACTCTGGAAAATACACTTCTTTATTTGCATCTGATGCATTACCTTCTATTAAAAGTAGCAGTAGTTATCATCGTTGGTGGTAAATTACAGTTGAAACATAACAAGATTTCTGCAAACACACAGCTATTTTATGATCATATAAATTGCAGGGAAAATAAAGAAAAGAGCAGCTCACGTGGAGGAGTAGAAATTCGTATGTTCAGTTAAAGGAAGACTGAAAATATCTCTGAAGAAAAAATGCGTGCGTTGATGAGATTCAACCTGATTTCTTGCGTGTTATCAGAGGAAAAGGCAGAAAATCTTTTAACAGGGGAATGGAAGTGAGGAAGCAATCTTTTCCTAATATTTTCTAATATTTTTAGTAATTCCTAATATATTTTCCTAATGTTTTTCTATTTTAAACTGTTCTGTTGGTAACCTTTGTCCTTATGCCTGTGTTCTCTCTTCCACTATGATAATGCTAGTCATTAATAACAACAGCTTCTAACTTCCGCTGGTGTTTTCACACTTCAGCTTACTCCTTCAAAAGAGAACAGGCCATGTGTAACAGCAGCCAAAAACTGAGTACCAGGATGTCTGAGCCTGTTTAGCTTTGTGCTACCAGCAAGTGTTCCCTCGATCCACAGATAGAAAACCTAGATTGTTAGTTTTGATTCTCCCAGAATCTACTTGACAAGTATTTTCAGCAAAGTTTTAGAACTCAGAAATTCATGATATGCACTCAGTATCAAGGCCTCCAGTTTAAGAGATCCTTAGCATCAACTGTTCAGTTAATTCAAGCAGTTAAATCAGTTATCAGCTTAGCCATCATCTGAGCAACATGTTATAGAAGTCTCATAATTAGGCACTAAAACTCTCCTAGACCTTTTAAGGTTTAACTTAGGAAGACTGTTTTAAACTATGCGCTGCTGTGTTCCTTCCAAATGACTCTCTGTTCAATAAGCTCCCAAAGGAAGGAGCAGTATAAAATCATATTTTTAAAAAAACTTAAAAATAATTAGAAGAAAAATACAAATGTTGAAATATACCTGTGGTTACCTGCTGTTTCTTAATTAGAATCTCATATCATACATAGAGGGTTTTTTGTAGTATGGTGTGTCACACTTAAAATGGACCTAAGAAAGATTGAGTGCTGTGCAAGAATGATAGGGCAGTCATACAAAGCTATCCAGATCATTTGGTGACCAAGCCCATTCAGAAATACTGAAGTACCTTCTGATACAGTTTAAATGTGTTATTTATATGTATTACATTAGGACAATATATAGAGAGATATATGTATATTATATGTATTGTGTACAGCCAGGATGATTTATATAAGAACAATGAACACAGATCCTTCTCCAGAAAGAAGGGAGGGCTTCACAATGGAGAGCTTTGGCTCTTAAAACAGGCAAGGTAGGGACCACGGTGACAAGCAGCTTAACTGGAAATTCCGCTGCTATAGCATGTCTCTAGTCCTTTCTTTGGATGGATCAATAAGGGAAGTAGGTGAGACTAGGGAAGCTATTTCAAAATATGTGCTATTCAAAGTGTTGGGAGTGAAACTTATGTCAGAATAGAGACATAACAGTTTGTGTCCTCATTTTAAAGGGGATGTTGGAAAACTTAAAAGCATGAAGAAAAGCTCTACTAGAGTTATCTGAAGGCTGGAAAAAATACAGTCCAACTGGAGACATTAAAGATCGATTTGATTACCTTATAACACAGAAGACTGAGCAGAGTCTTGTTTCCAGAGTGTGGGAACCTGAAATACACATAAAATACTGGATATTAAAAAAAAGAAGGCTAATTAATTCAGTGAAGATACAAAAACAGCCAGTGGCTGGAAGCATGTGAGAAGTAAGGCACATTGTCACTTTAGAAAATAGAACAAAACGAGGTAGGGTGATTAAGCCATTGAGAAAAATATTAAGGGCTTGATGGCTCTGCTGTCTCTTGAGGTATTTAAATCTAAGCCCATAGCCTTTTTGGAAGACATGTTATCTTTAAATACAAAAGACTTCCTGAAACATGCTTTTCTGTTAACAATCCAAAGCTCACATATACGTAGCCCACACTCTGCATGCAGCCAATATGACTTTTCAGTAAATTGAGGTTCCAGAAGCCATAAAACAGAAGTGCTTTGATCAGGGTCTATTCCACTATTTCCACTTGTTTACTGTCAATAATATTGAAACTCTTAAATCACTTGGATGATGTGGCAAGTTTCACAGCCATGGATTACATTCCTGCCCTCCCTATAAAATGCCAAGGAGAGAATAAACACTCCAGACCAGAAGCTGGAGTGAGCAGTCAGCTAAACAAGTCAGACCTTGAGGAGAAAGAGGAAGGTTGACCTCTCCTGACGGAAAACTTAACTAAATTTTGGGGTATGAAAAAGGTGGGGCTTTTTCCATTTTGAATTCACAGCCGTGGACTCTCTTGGGGATTTAAGTGACTAAGCTAAATCCTACTCCCTGTGTGTTGGGATAGAGCAAATAAAAGCAACATCATATTTCTTCATCCATCCATATTAAGAATTCACTAGGGCAAGGATTAGAGCCTGGATCCAACACATTTAGTGTGTGTGCAGAAGAGTCAGATCCTCTTGGGCTCATATTTTTCTAAGAATCCTTTTTCCCTTCTCCAATATTTCTCCGTATTGTCTTTAGCCCTATTGGCACTAAAATAATTAAGTATTTTCAATGAAGTCTTGAGTCTGTTTCTTGGGTTTTGTTGTTGTTGGGTTTTTTTTAACTTGCTGTATGCCAACGTGCAGTCAGTATTATGTCTACATTCTCTCCTTCTCCTTTTCCATTATAGTCTACTATTTCTACCATGACCTTTTAACCAAACAAATCCTGCTTGAGAGTATTTGGGAGATTATTTAATAAAGACTATTGGTTAAAAGCTTCCATTCATCATTCATATTTTATGTTTAAATAATTCTTTCCAATCCTGTTTCACTAACTATTTCTTGCCTGGGAAACTTGACTTTTTAAAGCAATAGGTATGTTTTTCATTGACTGGGATGAGTATCCAATGACACAAAGTAAAAAAACTTGTACTGTAGTCACTTCCACATAAAAAGCTGAGCTAAGGGAGGCCTACTATCAAGTTAAGATGAGTGAATTACTTTATATGCTGCAAAATGATTACTTATAATACTGACAGACACCAAGGATATTTCTACCTATGACAGCATTGGACCTTCAACTTACCCCATCTGAAGTCCCTCAGATGATTTCTTTCTCTACATTTCACACTTAGAAGTTTGCGGTTTTCTTGTTACCTAATCAGGAGGTCAAGAGTAGGCAGCACTGTGTCCCATTCCCATTTTGTGCTTAAGCACTGACCTGCAAGCAGGCCAGGTTTGATTATTCTGTGTCAATGGATCTAAAAGAAGTGGGAGAGACAAAGGCCCATTGTCTGGCTGATCAGACTTACGTCCTTAAAACACCCTGAGGACAAGGAGCAGCAAGTCTACATGTACACCAGAACCATAACAAACCCTTCTTGGGACTCCCATTGTTTTCCTGAGAAAATTGTTTATACTTGCTTCTGCCTGAAAATCTTAAATAATTGGCAGGAACTGTCACGAGATGTGGTATGTCTGACTCATGATTCTTTCTCTTCGGTCTATTTCAGCCAACTATAGTCAACCTGAGATAGCATGGCTCCACACTGGGGAACTAAAGCCCAATGAATACTTGAATCTTTCCTGTTCTTCCAGCGGAGGCTATCCAGAGCCCAAGCAGATGACTTGGCTAATTTCACACGAAAACAAAACACACAGGCTTATGCGTCGCATGGATGTCTCACAGGATGCTGTAACAAAGCTGTACAATGTTACTAGCAAGCTGAATATCACAGTTCCTACAAACACCCTCACTAATATTAGCTGCTTGCTTCACCTTGGAGAGCAGCTGGGAAGCCTTGTCTCAGTGCCACTAGGCATAGGTGAGTCTCCATTTGCCCATTCCGATTTTTGCATGGGTAGGAGCAGGGCACATTGCAGTAGAGCTGATCATGGATAGCAGCATAGTCAAGGCAGTGAATAAACCCTAAGTATCAGTAGGAGTTGGTTACAAGGGTTGTATGTTCTCCATCGTGTTCACCAACAGCCACGGCCACCAAATTCCCTCTCCTTTCCATACGGGAAGTCTTACTACAGCAAGGAGAGGGCACAGAGAAGGAAGGCTACTGCTACACAATCCAGAACACAGCCCTGTTCATCCCCTCCCTAGATGCTGCTGCAGCAGCAACAAAGCAACCTGGATGTCTGGATTAGGCGGCAACCAGTCTCTGGAGGCGACAGCTGTTAAGAGAGGTTGCCACTTCACAGAATCAGAGAACTGTTGAGGTTGGAAGAGGCATCTGGAGATCATCTAGTTCAACCACTCTGTTCAAAGTAGGGTCAATAGGTAGTGCAGGGCCTTATCCAGTTGAGTTTTAAATATCTCCCAGGATAGAGACTCCACAACCTCTCTCATCAAACTGTTCCAGTGTTTGACCACCCTGACAGTAAAAGTTTTTTTCTGATGTTTAAGTGCTTGAGCTGCTATTCTTAATCATTCCTTGGAGACAGGCAGAAGGCTAAATAGAAGAGTTCCTTGGACCAGATTTGGCTCACAAACTGCCAAATAGACTGTGCTGAGTTTAAGTGTAAAGGCCATGAAACTGACTAGTCTCAGAAGCATTCCTGGTGGTTTTCCTAATATTTGGCAGAACGAAGTGCGCATTCCAAAATGACTATTTGGGGATTTTTTTTCTCTGAGATTGTGTCTCTGTTTTCAGACACCCCTTGCAAGAAAAAGCTGGGGACCTGAGTTCCAATAAGACTTTACTGCTGAATTATCTCAGGGTTCCACATGACTGATCCTTTCTTTAAACTAAAGCTGTATTTTATTTATCTCCTGGGACAGGAAAACATCCTTTGACATATTTTTGTTTGTAAGCTATGGCATAAGCACATCAAAATAAAGACAATTCCCACTTTGGTCGTAAGTTCGTTTGGCTTGCACATGTCTCCTTTAGACAATGTTGAAGATGGAGAGCTGTGCTTCAACTGACAGGAACAGGGAGCCAAAAGGGAATGACAGCATTGCAGGAAAGCCTACCAAGGTAGTACAGGCATGCACCTTACTATTGCAGATGTAAGAGAGGCTTGCCACTCATGCTGAAAAAAGTTCCACAGTGCAGTTTTCTTCATATAAATTTAGCTAAACGGTTAAGTCATCAATGCTAGATATGGCAAACTGCCTCTGATGTCCTTACATTCTAGGATTTTTAAATAATATTAAAATACAATACAGAAGTCTTCTGAGGTTTGCACAGCTCTACACATTGCTCATGACTGTTAACATGGCTATATTAGCTATATTAGCTATATATTAGCTATAGTGCTGCATCCTCCTCTTCCCTATTCAATTCTTCTTCTCTCCTCCCTGGCTTTATGAAAGTAGCCACCTGATAAGCAGTGATGGTGGGTAAGAAACTAGGAACTCCACATAAACAAAAGCTTTGTTTGGTGATAACTGAAGCACTATCAGTTGCTAACCCTAGCAACCAAAAACTCAAAAGCACAATAACTAGAGATAGAGGGAAACTCCTTTGCATTCCCTGCTACTTTCACATCCCTTACGGCATTTCATTAGGCTTTGACCATCATTTCTAACAGATACCAAGTAGTAACATATCCCAGGTTCTTCAAACTTGCACAGTAGCACAGTAGCTGCCTCGTAGGCTCTTGTATTACTTAAGTTGCTGATCTCTCACATGTTACCCAACCTTCAGAAAGAGTACTTTGCCTTACTGTTGTTGAAGTGGCCATTAAGACCTGGTAGTCTCGCTAGTTATTTGAAATGGAAATAATGCAATGTGGATAGTGATTTATTGACACTATTAAAGCACTGTAAAAGCAAAGGATGCTGAGTGCCTTTCCCTAAACTTCTAATTCACATAACTTTGGGAGAGATTGTTTAAGCTAATGTCACCAAATTAAATCTTTGCTCTGTGTATCATCTCCTCCGTTTTCTTATTCAGAGATGCAGGGGGAAGAAATGGAGCCAGTGAAGATAAGTTTCTTTGGCCCACTTATAGCTGTGATTGTACTAATCACACTTCTTCTGGGTTTTGTGTTATTGAAGAAGAACAGAAATATCTCATCTACCAGCCAGAGTAAGTTATTACTTCTCATTCAGCTCTACTGTCCCTCAAGTCACAGGCTTTGCTCTTTGTAATCATCCCTTTACCTACATTCAAGCTGCTGACAGAAAGTTAGGTCTCATGCTGGACTTAAGCTAAACTTCCCTGGACAATTTAGTTCCTGCAACAACTTAGTCCATCCAGCAGCAAGTCAAAACATCTTTCTCCTGTCTTGTCCTGGGATCCACTTCTCCCTCTTTGTGCTCTGTGAGACTGCCATGGCACCAGCTTACCACTTCTTCCTGCAGTTTCATCCTTTTTTTCTGTTTTTTTGGTAGATTTGGCTCTTAAAATCATTGAATTGTATAAACCTTTCTTGTCCATCACCATTTATAAGAAAGGTGGAGCTGGGGGAGGGATGAGATGAGGCTTCCGTAAAGTGCAAGTATCTATGTCATCACAGAGCTGAAGGATCAAGACATTGCTCCACCACAGGCTGCCCAGCACTGGACTGGAAGAATCATCTTGTACTAGGAACAGAATTTGATCTTTACATTGCATTTCTCTATTTTGTTCCAAGACTACGTCTCAGCAGTCCAGGGTTTATTCTGCACTGAAAGGATCCTCATGCTGACATCAGAGTCTATCCTTCCTTGTAGCAAGAGGGAAATGCATTCCTCATAGTCAGTCCTGTTTCCTTACACAGCCAAGGGTCCTGAGCCCCACCTCATTCTTTTTCCGAATCCTAAGATAACTGGACATTTACTATCAGCTCTTTTTAAGCTCCTATTTCTCACGTTTCTGTAAATCACATATTAATCTATTTTAGGTGTCAGTCTAGCAGTCTAGAAGCTATCCAGCTTGAAACCAAGGCCATCAGCGAGACTGCTGACTGGGAACCATCTCTGCACATAGCAAGGCCTGAGGTCCCATATTCTTAGATGCTCTGCCAGAACAAGAATCCTTCCCAGATACCCTGCAGAACAACATGCAACATTTTTGTCTGATGGCTGAAATCCACTGTCCAGTATTCTCTGCTTTTATTTTTGCTCCAGAAGAGTAGTAAATATGGTGCTCTGCCTGTCTGCATGACTATCTTTTTGCTGTATCTTTCATTACGCACTGTGACATTGTAAAATCCTGAGAGTCAATGAAGAAGGCAAAGCTGCATGGGTTACAGAAGGGAATGTCTCAGAAATAGAAAGAGTTAGGCCAAAATCTGTGAATCATAACCATCACTGGAAACATGATCAGAGGCAGGCTATTAATCATGAGCCATAAGCGCTTTTGGCAGAGCCAGTGTGGCTTTGTACCAGTAACTTTCTTGTAAAGCTCCACAGCAGAAAGAGGAACTTCAGGGCACTTCCCCGCCTTCTGAGAAAAGTCCTGCAACTCCTATCAGGCATTTGAAACTAGAAATCACCTGAAGGAAAGACTTGCTTTAAACATAATTTCTGGTTATAGTAACTTTTTTTTACTACCATCCAAGCTTAATATGACCAGACAGTTAGTACCTCCACACTTTGTTCCTCTGTATTCTGGCCGGATGCTGTACTAGTTGTTCAGGTGGATGCAGGGACAGAAAATGAAAGCATGAGGTATCACTCATATGTGTATAAATCTAAATATACAAAATTAAGCTAAGCAGATAACAAAAAAATATTCTATAAGTAGGTCATGTTCCAATTTGGTTGACGATGTTCTCCCTTTCTTAATTTTGCTTCAAACCTTGAAGATAGAGCAATCTGTACGCTATGGTATGCCTAGCTATAGGAAGTAGTTTAACCTTTCAGAAAAGATTCTCTGTTTCACTCAAAATGTGCCAGTTCTCCAATCTTGAACGATCTCTGCACTTTATATTCTTTAACAGCATTGGCATCTTTCAGGAGGAAGAAGGCAGTAGAATTGAGACAAAAGTCTTCTGAGGTCTTGATTGTGTTTGTAGGTCTGACATTTTCAGCAAGAGCAAGGACATGAGCATCACATTCTCAAGACAAATTTCAGCTCAGAGTTGCAGTCTGGGGACATATATTCTGTACAGTTTCTGCTGGGTACAAATATTCTTTTCTGTTAAATGATGTTGTGAGTTGCTAGGTTCCACCTCAATTTTTACTCCATTTTCAAGTGTGTGAGAGAATGTGCATGTCCTTTTGAGTTAGCTAAACCATTTGGGAGTCAGTTTATTAAGTTATTACACTAACATTCCAAATATTTTCATTCAGATTAATATCATTCAAATTTTATTAAAAGTTAAAGGTTTTATTTTTATGTAGAAGTTTATATTTGCTAGCAAACTTATTTAATGATTTATTAAAATATATGTCTTTTTCTGTGTTGGTGTTTTATTCTCCTGCCATTAAAGCAGTATATTGGGTAATACCCACATTTGGTGTTCTCAGGGAGGAAACACTCCCAGAATTATTTCTTGGAAGCAAATGAATAAAAAAGGTATTGCTGCAATGACCAAGAATGGCACAGCTGAAGGTTTCATATGTTCATTCATGGATCCGGATATATGTGCACAATTCTATGTATGCATATCTCCTTGATTTATTGATCTATACACCTCAAAATTCCAGTCTAAAAATTTGGCCTTTTGATTCTATGCTGCAGGTTGTCAAATAGATCTCCAGTGGGTCACACAATCTTCTCTAACTCTTGATTAACATTTGGTTCCTTAAATAAGCCTTGCGTTAAACTATCAGGTATACTAAATCAGGTAGATACTGACTAGTTTTATGTTGTCTCTCTTGCTTTTTTTAACACATGCTGTAATTCAGTTCATTTTTTTCAACATTCTCCCTTCCCACTCAAGTCATCCACCTCAAATCCTCACTAACATTGAGGTCATCAGGACAACGGCTAAACCCTACCTTGCTCCTACCCAAACAACAAGCCTTGTGGGTCTTTTGTCTTCCATATGACTAGATTCACGCACATACACATACACTCTTGAACTCACAGTCTCGGAACTCTCTTACTAGTCCCTAAATCCTCGTGTGCTGCTTTTACAGTCAGCTTTACGCACTGAGGAAAAAAAACATCACCAACCTTTCATGTTTGTCCCTAGGAGAAAAACAATAACCAGTTCCTCCACAATGGATAAGGTATCTGGAAATCTATGCTAGGACTCAAGAGTCCTTCTCTAGCACATTCACTCAGCACAAAAAAAAAATTCCTAGCACTTGGAAATTCAACAGTTTTTGCAACGTCTTAGTACCTCTGAGGGGGCTTTTCACCCCGATACACTGTCTACTATCACTATCAGCAGCTGTAACTAGTGAAAAAAGTCACATGGTGGGTTAGGTTTATCTTTTCACAACTCCCTTTCATCCTTAATTTGTTCCTAATTAGTGAAGTTGTTTGTTTCCCCCCCTTGCCATCCCCCTACTTAGGCTGCCAACCTCCTTCTATTACCTGATCAATTTCTCTACCTCCTCTTTTCTCGCTCTTAAAATCAACTCTAATTCCCTCCTGCATCTAAAGACAGTTAAGGGGAAAAAAGCGGATGGGCTTCAGGGAAAATCTTAGTTTGTCTCTATCTGTTCAAATGCATTAATCCTCTGTGCTAGCAGATGTAATGAGCACAGTAGCAAGGCACAAGAAAAGTGTAGCTGATGTGCTGGCATTTTTGTCCTCCATAGGAATACATTCAGATTTCCAGGCTATCTCCTCACCCACTTCGTAGTTTTTTCTTTGACAGCATGCTTTCAGTCATTTAGTGACTCTATAAACATGGCAAGCAAACAAACGAGCATACACCCACTACATAACCGCAGCATATAACAGCTTCACTTAAAAACACCATTCCTTTATTTTTAGGCATAACATTATGGATTTCAGAAAATGCTAACAAAGAAATGGAAACGGTGAGTTAAACCAGTATCCAAAGCCCTAAGGTAAAATCCTGTCATCAGACTTACAGTTGTGATAGATTGCTTCATGTTCACCGATTAACCAGCACTGAATCACAGAATAGTTGAGGTTGGAATGGACCTAGGGAGATTGTCCAGTTCAACCCCCGGCTCAAGCAGGGTCACCCGGAGTAAGGTGCCCAGGTCCATGTCCAGACAGCTTCTGAATGTCTCCAAGGAGTGAGACTCCATGGCCTATCTGGGCAACCTGCTCCAGGGCTCAGTCACCCTTCACAGTAAAAAAGGGTTTCCTTGTGTTCAGAGGGAACTCCTGTGTTTCAGTTTGTGCCCATTGCCTCTGGTCCTGTCACCGGGCACCACTGAAAAGAGCCTGGCTCAGTCTTTTTCACCCCCTCCCTTCAGGCATTCATACACACTGATGAGATCTCCATGAGGCTTCTATTCTCCAGGCTGAACAGTCCCAGCTCACTCAGCCTTTCCCCAGATGAGAGATGCTCAGTCCCTTAATCATCTTTGTGGTCCTTTGCTGGACTCTCTCCAGTATGTTGATGTCTCTCTTGTACTGGGGAACCCAGAACTGGACACAGGACTCAAGGTGGAGCCTCACCAGTGCTGAGTAGAGGGGAAGGATCACCTCCCTCAGCCTGCTGGCAATGCTTTCCCTGATGCAGCCCAGATACTGTTGGCCTTCGTTGCCACGAGGGCGCACTGCTGCCTCATCTTCAACTTGTCCACTAGGCCATCCATGTCTTTTTCTGCAAAGCTGCTTTCCAGATGGTTTGCCCCAGCCTGTACTGGTGCATGAGGTTATTCCTCCCAAGGTGCAGGACTTTGAATTTCCCTTTGTTGAGGTTCCTCTCTGTCCATTTCTCCAGCCTCTTGAGACCCCTCTGGATGGCAGCACGACCCTCTGGTGTGCCACTCCTCCCAGCTTTTTATCATCTGTAAACTTGCTGAGGGCACGCTCTCTCCCATCATCCAGGTCATGAGTGAAGAGGAAAGTCAGTTAGTTTTACTGCGGATTTCTTAATGTCAGCCAGTGCTACTGCAACAAGCAATACTTTTCCTATGGTTAACAGGTGAGGGGACAGTGAAGCGTTGCATTTCCAGAATATTCCACAGTCACTTCTGAGGGGATTGTCATTAACAAACCATCTCATGGCAAACATCCCTTAGTGGACTTTTTCCTCTTCAGGTGAATTATTTGCTACTGGACGTTACATTTGACCACAGAAATATGGCAATTCTGTTAAAGAAACCTAGTTCTTGTGTGTATGACCTCTAAGTTTTGGTTTCAAATTCTCTTCCTCTCTCCTTTCCAAACTCAGAAGGAAAAACGCGAGGGAAAAAAAAAAAAAGGATATGAAATAGTTATCTACCCTGGAATGCTGGGCTGTCATAGTTCATAACTGGTCTCTCTTTGCTTTCCCATCTGCACTGGGAGGGTCATAATGCTGGGGGCAGGGAAGGGTCTAAGAAAGACATGTTTTCTGATCTCAGGATGGGCTACCAGAAGGTTCTTAAGACAAAAAATACAATTAGGCAGGAAAGCTGGTGGAAGAAAAGAAAGAGGGGGAAATGGATGAGGGCTGAGAAAGTGTAAGGAAAAGAGTGACACACCAGGCTGGCTTGCAACAGGAAGTGCACATGCATCAAGTGCAGAGCCTAGGCACAAGCCCCTTCTTCACAGACCCCAGGAAATAAAAGGTTCTGGCAGCTGTCTGCCCGTTGCCTTCTGGGGAAGGCTACTCTCCAGCCAGCAGCAGTGCCACTAGCAAGGAGAGCTTCTCCACAGAAGTTCTGAAATCCGGAATATTCTCACAGTCCTTGACTTGCCATACCTCCTTACACACTTGTGAATTTTATGGCAGATATACAAGACCAAATTTTCCTGCACTTGGTGTGTGCTTGATGCTGAGACATGCATACCTTTTGTCCACTGCTTTTGTTAATATAGCTCTTACAAAAACTCATGAAAATCATAA